AGAGAGAGAGAGAGAGAGGTGAAATTAATTATCTAAATCTGAATTTATATCATTATTATTATCGGCGAGAAGTATTATTTCCCTAGACAAATATTAGGATTGCTACAGGTATCAATTACACGATCGGTACATGTTTGTCAGAGAACAATATGTCTCCACGCAGCGCAACGTGGCAACCATAATCGTCTCACGGTAATAACCATCGTAATGTTACAGATGTGCCGTCGTTATATATTATTGCTGTTGAGAGATGGTCTAATCGTTTCGTTGTAATTGGTTCTCTAAATTACTTCGACCGGCTGACGCCGTCTCGAAATAGCGTTACAACGACGCTATCGCGCCGTACATTACGTCTGCATGATTCCACCGTTACGTTGGCTTTATCATTCGGAAGCGATCGCGATGCAGATATTTCTTATCGTCAATACTCCGCTTAATGCAAATATTGAGATCCTTATTCAACTTGGCGCCTGAGTTATACGACAAGAGCAAATTACAAGCGAAACGTGTGATATAATCGTGATTGAGTATTGTATTCGTCTGAAAAGGTCTACCAAATCGCAGATTCTGGAGCAATTTTACGTTGAGCAAAATTGCATTGTTATTCGCAAAGAGATTCCTTTTATCTATTCTATCTTTTGCTGTTTTCGTACTCTTTCTAATAGAATTTAATCTAACTGTTCGTGTGTCCAATTTTCCCTTCGATTTATCTCCGCATTTTCCCGAAAAATGTATGCGTTTGTGAAATCGCACGCAGCGTTCTGTCGAAATCCGCACGCGAAATTAAGAGATTAAGTTATGTCAAGAAAAAGAATGAAGCGGCCGAAGTGGCTGACCCGACTTAACTTTAAAGGTCTAGGCAATCCGGGGCTCTTTGTGATCGTTTGACGGTAGATCGGCGATTAGCAAACAATGGCTTTGTTGTTTTGGCACTCGCCGCGAGGCATTCGCGCTTATTTAGCTTCCCTTTCAACCATCATCAACATCTACCTTTCTGTATAGGCTATCCTCTTGTCCCTGTAGTCCCTCATCCCCTTCTATAGCAATCTCCTTTCTCCTTCCTGCAATTCGCGCGTCCTTTTCCTCCATTTTTCTTTTGTCACTATTGTCTGAGCTTTTATTGTAAATTCTGCTTTTTTTGCAAGTATTTATATTCCTTTAATATCGATATAAATAACTGCTTTATTTTATTTGATTATTTTCGAGTCATTTTTTTATACCTACAGTATATATCTAAAAAGAGAATGTGACCGGAATCTTTATAAAGTTATATTAATAAATCTAAAAAAATTACACATAAACCACAGATAAATGTAAAACATTTACATTCCTTTTAGATATATTGTATCTTAATTTCTGCTTTATTTTACTATCTTTGTGAAATAACGTTATGTAGTATAATTTCTATATCTTTTATGTTAAAAGTAACATAAGAAAATTCACAAATCTCACAGAGGGTATGTAATAAATTCTATTTTTGTCTATTCTATTTTCCAGTTCACTTTTTCTTCACCGCTTTCGCGTCGTAGAGCATCCCGAGAATGAGTATGGTCTGCTCGTCTTGAAAGGCATTTCTGGTAAGTAAATCTACCTGACAAAGTTCCTGGGCGTAACCAACCCGCCAAGATTAATCTCCAAGTGCCCTACGCTACTGCTATCGCACTTTTCTAAAAAGCTACATAATCATAGAAGTAAAGTTAAAGAGGATGATAAGTAAACTACGGTTTGCCTGGTTTGAAAGTTAGAAGAGCGACTAAAATTCTCTAAAATGACTAAACATATAACATTTAATATAAATAGTCATTTAGATATAGTATATATATATTATAATTTAAAAATTCAACCTTAATTTAATTATATAACCAATATTAACTTTAAAGCTTATTTTTTTTAAAGGTTTCAAATAATGCCTACCCTATTCTTTGGTTATTATTTCATTTTTCAAAGTTTTTTTTATTTTATCAACTTTTAAAATCTGGTTGAAACCGTTTTCAAAATTTCCAATTTTCAATATTCTTCATACAATCATTAATATATATAAATATTAAATAAAAAACACAACAGAAAATTTTACCCTTGTGTATAATTTGTTTTTTTTATGGAGTTTTGCGTAAAATTTTACTTTATCACATTTTAAATTTTTTATATAAACATTTTAAAAAATATACGTTTGTTTTATATTTTTGTTCCAATATTTGTTTTTTGGGCCTATAATCTGTTCATACAATATAAAGATTATTTTTTGTACAGAGAAAAATAGGTTTTATTCTGATTGATATTTATTAACTTTAGATACGCGCGTTAGGCAGAATTGACTACGATTATTAAATTTTGGTTAAGCCTATTGAATTATATGAAAATCAGTTCGATGAAAAGCGAATTATTTCACACATACAAGTAGAAGCGAACCAACGTAGGATTGAAAGAGTTTAGCACAACGGACGCCATTGCAAAATTATTGCATGTTATTTTCATTCAAATCCGCTTAACAGCGACTTGCTCTGCTTTATAAGTATCAATGAAATTTTCAAATATCACTCGAGAATATAATCTCCATATTAATTAAGATTTTTTTAATTCTTTACTTTAATCTGACCATTTTGATAAAAGATCAATGGCGCTAGTATTCATTATAATTTCCTCGCTAAAATTTATTACTATTTTAATGATTTTCAACACAAGAAATAATTCAAACTAGTTCAAAAAGATCGTGATAAATAAACCCAACAAACTGTATAAAAATTAACGCTATTTTACCCTAAATAAATTATTTTTTTGTTACTTTGTTAACAATTTATCCATTTATTTTTACATTTTTTTTGTTTCTTTCCAAAGTGATGTATGAAATCACGGTATGTGATTGCCGTTGAACCAAAACATACGACAGAAATCACCGTTTTTGCATTTTTTTCCCGACATGTTCACGTTTAGAGGAAAACCAAGCCAGCCCGGGTCGCACGGTCGGGGCGGTATCATCGTAAAACATTCATGCACGGCACCCGAAATTGCACGACGCAGCGCGACGTGCGACAAGGCGAAGCGAGAAGTGACATCGCGGCTGCGAGGATCCACGGTGGTTTATTTATAACCGCTTTTCAACAGTTAACTTGTGACCGCACGTGCTCGCGCTTGTCCGTCCCCGCCCTCATTCATCCTGTTCTCGCTCCCGCGCTCATTGAACTCACACCCCTGCGCTTTATTTTCATACGAGATACGACGGATTGCCGTGCACTTTTACGCTGTTCCCGTCCACCACCGAGGTTAACAAGGGAAACGCATAACAAACAAGCAATTTATATCTCATGCCGCGATCGTTGCGTACGCGCAGTCGTGCAATTTTTCCCGATCTCTCTTACCTTTCCTATTTCTCTCGCTCTCCCCCGCTTATTATTCGCGCTGCCGCGCTATTTTGTTTTCTGTTTGACTCTAGGAGTTCTCTGGGTTTTAATTTTGATGCGCAAGCATATTTCATTGCAACTTTATCTCTATGGATCTGAGCGGATCTCCGATGAACCTGTGCTGAAAATCTCATTTTTCACTGTAGTATTTCGAAGATTGAATGAATTCTATTACGGTTTGCTACAGTTAATAACAAAACTGTTATCGATGCATTCGTTCAGATTTTAGAATTTCTTCTTTAGCTACGAAAGTAAAATATTATCCCTAAAGTAATTTAATTTTAAATACAGAATTAAAACAATTATAGTCTCTTCTGATGTATGTTAATAGTTTTTTATTTTCATGAAAAGATTGATATTTTCATAAGTAAATGGCTTAATATAGTATAAATACAATGTACGATATTTGTATCTCTATTTTTTACATTAATTAGAAAAAAAGTAGTATCACGTGACATGCTTATTTCTATCGCTATTTTAGCTCGCTGAATAAAACAAAAAATTTGTTTACAGGAGAAAATAACTTGAAAACATCACAAAACATTTATTCTATATATATTCTTATGAAATCTGCTGATGCAAATAACAGTATTTACTTTACTAAAATCCGTTTTCTCTCCTTTATTTCTGTCTCATCTTATTTACATTTCGAAATCAGAATAAATATGTCGACCACTTTTTTCTCTTTTGTTTTCATCTTTGTTATGTTTTCAAACTCTACTCACTTGCGCAATTTATTTCTAAATCTGTAATTAAACATTTTCTGAACGGTCCATTCATATATTATTCACTTTATTTCGTTCTCTCTCTCTCTC